CCGCGAGGACGCCCATCCCTACGCGGATTCGAACCGGTGACAGGGTTGCAAACCAAGCACGCAGACCACTCAGCCACCGGCCAACCATGGAACGAACCAGCTAATCTAACAGCGCACATCTGACTGTTGACTGGGGTCCAATCGATCAGGGCAGCTTCAGCCCGGGGACTCAAAGCGATGCCGACGCCAGGTTGACCGGCATCTGATGCTGCACCATCGCCAGACAGGCTCAATGCGAATGTGCCTCCAGTGTCGCATGTGGGGGATCGCAGCGTAATCACGGAGCTCGAATCTAGCAGGCGAGTTTCTGATAAACAGCAAATATCGATCGATAGGGTATCTAGTGCGCGGGCAACTGCTGCCTGTTGGCCAATCTGTAGCGATGTGCGCACGTTTAGGCATGCCAGTCTTAGCGAGACACGAGGATTCCAAGGGGAAACGGATGAACTGACCTTACCCGCTTGGTTGAACATCGACTTTTCGTTTGGATTGGAGCGATGCCCTGCGACTGTATGTGATTTGAAACTAGAAAACAATCGACTGTTGAAGCAAGGTGGGGAGGGCCAAGTATTGGGGGGTTGAGAATGGGGGGATAAAAGTAAAGTTGGAGCGGAACGAAAAGGATGAAAAAGCACAAGAGGGGGAATAAGAAGACGGGAAGGCCTAAGCAGTAGCATCTAAACCCTCATCCACCCTGCTCAATGCAGCAGATAGGGCGCCGTTTATTATCCTCTGCGACGGCGAGAGCATCCAGAAATTGTTAGGAGAAAGATTCATTGTATTGCGTGGGCAGAATATTGTCAGGTTTCTCAGGCCTAGACAGCGGAACGATTAGGGCTCTCAATCAAGGACTGTGGTTCAAGAGCCTTACCGCAAGGAAGCGGGGTTTTAGCACTGAATTGCAGAGAGCCCGTTTTATGGAGTAAGGAGCCACCCTCACTCCAACCCCCAACCTGGAGGGCCAGGCGACTGAGTTTGTCAGACCTCTAACCATTGACCAATCTGGTGTGAATGGCTCTGAAGGTGCAAAAAACACCACCTAACATAGCTCATTGAATCACTGAGTCACACAAACCATCGCACCAGTCTCGTCGCGATGGAATTGATAGCTCTGCTGAACCGAAAGAATAGATAGTTTATCTGTGTCCGCCTTTCGGTGAGCCTTTGAAACTCATGCAGATGTTCGCGCAGACAAGCGCATGGTCTGAGTCAAGAAAAATGAACCTGATGCATCTGAAATTTTTTACACTACCCCGCCATTTGAAACTTGTTACGGTATGATCAATCCGAGACGCATAACGGGGTCACCAACTAGCGGAACATCTCGAATGCCGAAAGCTGGTGCTCGAGAGAAACAGCTCATTGTCTTCACACAGCGTGAGAAGTCTCCATTAGCTGGGCGAATTTCATCGAGCGCATGGTGACCACCAACCGACCCCTGCGTTGGCATCCCCAGCAAGGACAATTATATGGGATTTGCAAACTCTGCTCAAGAGCTGCTGAAGTTTAGGGTGGAAATCGTCCTTGGCTTAATCGGAACTGCAGTCATTTAGTGCGTAAGCTGAGGTATCACAAACAAGTTACGTCTCTTACGACTTCTGCTGATCCTGCATAATCCCCGAAAGCGAACTGCATAGTCGGTTATTAATTGGAGACCAGTCCAACAGTGCGGCCTCGGCTTTGATATTCAACCCCACACCAACGCCAGCGAAACCTGCCGCAGCCGCTTCTGTGTCATCAGATAGATGTAGGTGGAATATGGCTCCATGATCGATGGGAGATCTCAACACAATTACAGTACTGGGATCTTGCAAGCGCGTTTCGAAAAGACAGCAAACATCGATGACGAGGGATTTCCAAGTGCACACAAGTTCACCCTGCTTCCCGGTCTGTATGAGTGTACGTACATGGAAGTATGCCAGACGGAAGATCGAACGAGAGCTCGGTGAGTGTCGACGAAACCATCGAGAGTAGAACCGCGGAAACGGGTATCAGCTGGTAATGCATAACAGTGATTGGTAACAAATGTACGAGTGGCATGTGAAGGTGTGTGAGTAGCAGAAGCAAACGCAGCTGAGAGCGATATATCAGATGAATGAGCTATGCTTTTATCAGTGGGCGTGATACTACTCGGTTGCCCAAGCTGAAGTAGGGAGTTGTCTTAGGGGACACCCTTCCGTGCCTTTGGCTAAATAACCTGTCCGCAGGGCATTGAGACGAATTCAGGGAATCTCGCCCATTGGTAGCCCGTGACTGAATATTCGCGTCATACGTCTTTTGTTTGGTCGATTAACAAACAGGCACCCACTCCTTCCCATGATATCACACATTTGCTGGAGTACACTGCCCACCGAGGTGAAACAAGCGGCAGTGACTTTATTTAATAGGGAGTCACATCCGCCAATTCGCAATGTTGTTAAACAGACATTTGTGGTTATTTAGAGGGAGGACGCTTTGTAGTCGAAAACCCACGACCTGGACCACTGCCGCCGAGCACCTCGATGGAACGGGGTAAACCCGAAACACAGCTGGCACCACGAGGAGGCAGTTCGGCACACTTGGCCAACAGTGATACTATTGGCAGAGTGCCACAACATATAAATAAACATAATAAGGATGGGATGGGGAAAAATAAACAAAAAATATTGTTCTCATGAGGTATGGTCTCACATGTCCGCCATTGACTGCGAGCTTTCACTGTCATAGAGTATTTCTAGCCATGCGTGCTCGTGTTACCTGCGTCCCCAGCCCGGGAGTCCCGAGAACCCGACCGCGATCAACTTTGACTTTAGCGCCTTCATACTTTGGGCTAGCCATTCGTTGTAAACCTTATGTTGGCTTCCAGCCACTTCGGCGTGCACAGAAAGAATACTATGAGGTAAACACTGAGCAGGCATGCGGGCGCATATGCGGTGAAATCTGCAGCTGAGCGGTCGGCAGAGTTTGATTTGAAAATCCTTTGACAAATGTCATCATTACTAATGTGATGTTGTCGTCGTGTATCAGCAATGCTGCGAAGGCAGCGGCGATAAAAAAAAACGCATTCTCTGGACACATTTTGCACAAACAGGCCAAATCTTGCAATCATAAAACAGGACCGCTCTCACCACATCATTATTACCTCGGTCTTCCATAGATGGTCAGGTAGCCTCGACGTCAAAAACAGCGGAGATTAGCAAAGACAATCCGATTCTTAGAAACGCACAGCAATATCACATCCTTTAAACCGTCAACGCTGAGGTAGCTCCCGAGGTAAACAAACTTGTCTGCCACTTCCAAAGGATGACTCGAAATGTTTAGAGAAGTAGCAGTCCCTGCCGAAGGTCATTCCGAACTGGTGGACACGCATCTCTAACCTACGCGTCATACTTTGGGAATCCTGCGAGGTATCAAATTACGGCGATGTCGTTCGCGTACTCCAAGTCACGAATTTTCTCCCCCAGAAGCAGCTCAGTGCCATTGGGTTCACAATTGTCCATCGCACTCTCCAGGATGGCGTCCATAGCGAAGTTTGGCAGGAAGTGTGATGCAGAGCAACCCTGTCCAATGCTACCGGTGATACTGAAGGGCGCGAAGCTCCACTCACAGTTGACCGGAGGTTCTGGAGTAATTGACTTGAAAAATGTTACCATACTCCCCTTCTCTACAAACAGTCTCAGACAGCAGCCCGGTCATCTGAGTCAAACGCAACCTGTATGTCTAATAAGTCAACGATCATTGGCTAGACAAACGTTTGACGATGTTTGACTATCTGGCGGATCTTAAAACTTTGATCGATATAGCTCCGGCCAGAGCGAAACACAGCTTGTTCCGTTTGCTAACCACGCTGAACCTCCTTAAATCCAAAGCGGCTAGCACTTGGGATGCAACGCATATCATACTAACCCCTCGGTGATTGTTGCAGTCTGTCCGGGCACCTATTTTGAAGACATGAATGATATCCTCAGTGATTTAAACCTCGGATTTGAGAAGTTAGTTCCCGTACAAGTGGTTGCCCCCTCTTTGAAAACAGTTGATGAGAGTTAGTCTGGGCCAAGCTTCGGGAGGTGAAGCTCATACGCAACTTCATTCTCAAATGATGAAGGGTCTACACACAAGAGGGCAATGCGGATTCCTAAATGAGAACTCATCAGTGCTGCAGATCAGTTAAACTACTGCTCAAAGTGCTCAGCTTAACGCACAAGTCGAAATTGTCGACAAGAGATTGGTTCATCATGGCCGCACCAAACGAGCACCTATGCACAGTTTTACGACTCGGCAACGGTGCGCGAATGTGGGTTGACCTGTGGTTGGATACGCGAGATGCTGACGGAACCAGGTGCACATCGACAGCGTGGGCGGCCCTGTGATTGGCCAAACGTGCAGTAGTCATCTATGGCGTCGACGTTGCGGCAGACGTGCGCTAGGCCATGTGCGCAGACGGCCAGATATGGTACGAGTCGTCAGGCGACATGCAGCCGGACGACAAAAGCCAGGTCACAGATAATTGGATGGCAGAGATGTCTATATTGGAAACGTGTGTTGACCTATAAATACAACCTTTTCCACTTTGAATATCTTTCTAGTCAGTTGAATCCTGGTTTCGGCTTTATCCATCGGGATTGTGGCGCCAGGCAGAGGACAGTGGCAGCACCGTTATAACACCCTCATGGCAGACTGATTTGGGTAACGCTTTTAGTCCCGTCGTTACTCTACGTCTTCTTGGTTAGCTATTTCAAAATCGTCATTTATATGACTAAAAGCCTTTGCTGACATAGTGGAGGTACGAATTTCGTGTCTTTTGCTTTCACTGTAACTTCTACCTTTCGCTCTTCGCCAACCGTCGTCTTTTTCTGCACTTTTCCAATTCAGTGCACGGATTCTAGTCGACTAAAGCATTGTACCGTTTGATCTCCAAGTCCGTTTGCTTTTTTCTTTCAAGCCGGTTTTGCTCCAATGTCCCAAACGATCCCATTTATCTCTCATATTTTTTGCTACAACTTTGTTTCTTTCTTCACTCAGCCTCGCAATCATGCCTGAAGCTGTGAGCTGGAGCACACAAATGGAGATAGAGCTATTTCATGCCATACTGACCCACAAACCAGTTGGTGTTGATCGGCATTTCCAGATGATTTACATCAAGTCACTGTTGAACTCACGACCCTGCACAAATAAGCTGACCACTTCTCAGCTGTGGGAGAAACTGGATTCGTTGTATAATATGGATGAGTTGGTATGTTTGCTCTTTTCAACATCCCAATGTTTGCAGCATGAGTCCGAAGTAAATCCATTTCAATTCAAGATAAAGGAGTTCTGCTTGCCTGAGGAATTTACCGAACTCAGATCAAAACCTTTCCCTCGTGCTGATTCTGATCCAGCAAGTTTAAAGACCAAATCCCTAGCGGAATCAGGTATCATAACAAAGTCGAGTTTTTCAACACACCTGTACTCTTGTGTTTTGTTAGTTTTTTTTAGCCTGCTGGAGCACATGATGCGGGCTTTGTACTGTTTAAAAGGTGCCTAACATCATCTTGCAACTTGCTATTCGTTAGTGGGTAGATCACTCGCCCTTAGTGCTTCATTCGCTTAGCCCGATAGGCGTGACATTGCAATGTAGATAAAGTGATCAATCTATTGCTTGTGTTTACAGTAAATCGGAGTACATGTAACTCGAGTTGGCTCGTCAACTTTGTCCTCCGAGCTGGGCAATTTTCTTCCAGATGTTTCATCACCAGTCAAGATGACATCGTTAGTACTTCACTACATAGTGCGCAATCTCGCTGGACGGGTTATCGGCCCCTGATAGACGAGCAGGTGACGCTTGAAATTGGTCCCTTTAATTCATGTCCCGGGACCATGGTCCGACCATCGTATCTTTCCGTCTCGTAATGTAGTTTGTGATCCGCCTGCTTTCTTTGTTTCCCAGCTGTTGGTACACCGGATGCAGGTCAATGCACAGGCTTATTGAATTTTCCGGTAAAATCCGCGCTTTGAGAAATTCCTCTTTTTATCCTCTTTCCACACTCCAGTATCTCTTTTTAGTCCTAGTCAAAGTTGTGTTCCTTTTCATCAACGTCTACCGAGACCAGTGATGATGCATAATGCTTTCGGTAGGCCCGTGTGTGCTCTTGTAATGTTGTACATATTCTCCTTCGTGTTGGCCTGTATATTGTTTCTCGCAATTTTGGCACTGGATCCTGTAAACGACATTCCGATGTTCGTGTGCTTTCGTATTCCCTCTCGGTCTAGACAGGGTTGCTGGTATGTGAGATACCATCAGGTGGTGCAGTTTAAGGAGTCTGGCGGTGTTTTTCCGTACGTTCTTGATATACGGCGAAGCTGGCTGCCTTGCCGAACAACCTCGTGGTGCCAGCTAGGTGGTTCGGGATTATCCCGTTCCAGAGAGTGTTTCGGCGGCAGCGTTCCAGGACGTGGTGGGTTTTCGCCTGGCAAGCGTTCTCCCTACGAAAAGCCACATATGTCCGTTTAACAACACTGACGTGGCGTATGTGACTCGCCACTAAATAAAGTCACTGCCCCTTGTCTCTCTGTGTGTCATTGTACTTCAAGGGTGCGTTGGGCCCCTGGTCCTATGCGGTCCTAAAGGCGTATGAACCACTCGTTTAGTCACCGGCTCCCAACGGGTTGCGATACCCTCATATCACCCTGCTGCTTTGTAGGTTAGATCCTTGATAAAAGGCTCGGGGTGGGGCTACTTAAGGCAACCCACTACTTCGGCCTGGGCAACCGGGTAGTATCCCGCCCACTGACGAACCATGGACTTACAACGACAACCATTCACCCGCTGTTTTGTTGCTACCATGCTATTCACTCATGTTACTATGCCAACTGCACAAGCACACGCCACCATATTACCTACCCTTCCCATGTACCATTCACACCCATTTTTACTTGATTCCTCTATAGCGATCAATCAGTTGTTCTGCAATTTCACCATCCCTTTGATGCACACATAAACTCACAAACCAAAACAAAAATACAAAATGGCGTGTGTAAAACCAAAAAAATCGTTTCCCATATTTTTTACTCGCATTCGTGTTCCCATCTTCTTCACTTTTTTTCTTCTGCCATGGTTCTGATGGCACAATGTCTGTTAACAGACTGTGAATAAATAATATATAATACGGCGAAGCGATCCATTTCGTCCTTAGTTCAAGTGTGCCATTTGCCCTTTTGCTGTTTATGTCTCCGGATGATAATACGTGGGTATCCGTTGCTCATGAAGGACGGAAACAGATGGTTTTCTTCGTGTTTGGTACCTTCAGTGTTGCAGTATTATTTTATCCTGCGTAACATTTCGGATGATTGCTGTTGAAACGTTTAAAACAATACTGCTTATATTCTCCTTTCTCTCTCCGTGCCTGTTACTTTTGAACACCGCGGTCCCATTATTACGTTTTATTCCGTTATCCTCAATACCGCGGATATTTTTACGACGAGATTGGACTTTAACCTAGTACGGATGTTTGCGTACCTCTGTCCAATTGAGCTACGTTGGGTAAGATTTTCCAAGTGCCTTCACAACCACTCATGCTAGATAGCTTAATGGTTGGGGGGTCAGTCTAGCCCACTCTCGCAGTCTTATTCGGAGATTCGAGAGAAGTCGACAGCCCTCTTCATTTAACATCTGGCCATGGGCGACAACGCGTGACGGATTATAAGCTCACGGCTCGATTGTCATAGACCATGGCCGCCACGCAGTCTGACAGTGTGAAGGCATCGCCCGGTGTCCAGTGGTTTGTTACCGCCTGCCTCAAAGCAGCCAACCCTTGGTCAACTTGATGCAAATCCAACCTGCGGTTGACTGTGGTCGCAAGTGCGTAGCATAATACAGTCGAAAAATCTGTTTTAACTTTCCAGAGGCCAGGTGTAACAGACACCAAGCGGATCCCAATGGGTTACTGCAAAGCAGGCTGACTTTCACCCTGGTTGTGGTTTCATTGACCACAAATTTGCTCTTCCTCAGATGTTAGGGCAGAAACATTTAAAGATAGGTTTCCTTGACCTGTTGATCGAACCAGCTTATAGTACTACCTATCCGGGAAGGGTGTGCCTGATAGACTCCTTTCCCTTCTGAAGTCGGTCGCAATTCTCGAGACAGGGTTAGTGTTAGATCTTCACTTTTTCTCGCTATTCCGAATTAAACACCCAAAACTTTCTCCGCAAAATTTCTAGCCTAGCCGAAGAAAAATTAAAAGTCCAACGACCTTGACCACGAAAAACATGTTAACCAAAACGCTGCCAACGTAGCCAAAAATGCCACCAAAACGCTGTCACTACGCCAAATATATAGGGACTCAATGACCTTCGGCTTCTAGAAAACGAAGGTCAGCTGGTAAACTTAGTAGCCTCCCTGCCAAAACTCTGTATGCTGGTGATCACGTGAAGGAATGGAGGGTTCCGGAATTTTCGAAATCAGTGCACGATCGAAGATAATCGATTATATGCTAAAATAATGGTTTTCTTTTATGTTTTTACCATTTCCCGGATACACCCCCTCCTGAAACGGCTGCCGCGGGGTATGATGCGAGCCTGCGATTGACCTTACGCCTCCTGGAAGGGGTTCTACGCCTACCGGTCCATCGCCTTGACTGTAGTGTTCTGGATTCAAATTCCGTGCTCTGCGGTCTGATATCATTCGTCTGATGACAGAATTCTTCTACGGGCCCTTTAGACAAGTTGAAGCTGTCTGTCAACAGGTCAAATGGAAGCTCGGCGGATTATGTTGCTTGTGGCTGACACATTGTTGGTCGCAGTTGGTTTGTATGGCGTACCTATACCTGCGTTCCAACCAGCACGTCGTAAATGACACTCCTGCGCTTGCCCTGGATCGTGCCTGACGTCCATTTTGCGTGTCTATCCCGATGCTCACGTACAAGTACTGGCTGACCAGATTTAAACGAACGTCGCTTAGCACCATACCGCCGATTAGAGTCACGTTCCATCTTGAGATTCCTTTCACCAGCTGTGGACTCTGAGAACGGCCGAACTGCATCAAATGGCATGCGAAGTTTTCTCTTCATCATTGCCTCTGCTGGTGATATTCCACCCGTCGTTTGTGGATTTTGTGTAGATCGGTACAGAAAGAAGAAGCGGTCGATCACCTCCTCTATGTCTCCCTCCCTCCTTGATTTAAGGAGAGCGCGTTTGAATTTATCCACAAACCTCCCCGCTTGGCCATTCGATTGTGGGTGGAATGGTGGAGACCGCACTTGTTTGATGGCGCAGCGTTGGCAAAACTCCGTGAATGTGGCCGAAGTAAACTGTACTCCATTGTTCGTCACCAATATTTCAGGGTAGCCGAACCTGCTGAAGATTTGTTGCAACCTCGAGACTGTTGCGCTGGTTTTCGTGCTGCTCATGATGTACACCTCGGGCCACTTGCTGCAAGCGCCGACCACTATGCGAAAGTTCTGGCCATTGACTTGGCCTGCAAAGTCAACATGTACACGGCTCCAAGGTTTAGTTGGTTTAGGCCACGAGTGGAGTTCAGTCTTCGGCGGTGCCCTTGAAGCGGTAGCGCAATTGCCGCAACTTCTAGCTAGCTGCTCCAGCTGTCTGTCCTTAAACGGCCAATACACATAACTTCGGGCAAGCGCTTTCATTCAGTTGAGCCCTGGATGTTCTGCATGGAACTGCCATAACAATCTTTCTTGCAATACTTGTGGGATGACTACTCCCTCAGAAAGCATGACGCAGTCGTTCACAATGGAGAGCGAATGCCTTCGCTGATAGAACTGTTGCATTTCGGTAGATGAACGCGAACGTGGCCAGCTAGTTCTGTGGAAGTGTGTCACCTTCGGGATTGGGTCTCGAAGCGTTTCGGCCCGCACAGCATCGGCCGTAACTGGCAGACCATGTAGTGCCTCGCTCACTAAGAATTTGACATTATGTTCGATCTCAAATGAGGCAGTGATGGTGTCCTCGTGTTCTTGCTGTTGGGAATCAATGAGGCGTGACAACGCATCTGCCTGGCCCATTGAATCCGTTGACTGATAACGGATTTCAAAATTATAGTCCAGCAAGGTGAGTGCCCATCGTTGGAGTCGATTGGCTGTATAGGCAGGTATACTGAATACTGGTTCGATGCAGCAAGTAGAGCTTTCTCTGGGTAGCTACATCATTCGTCGCTCTTGGACATATGCGCTTTATTTATCATTCCGCTCTCTATATTTTACCTCTGCAAAGTGTTTGTCTAGGAGCTTCTTAAATTCGGACACTGTGTTCGCTTCTACTACCTGCTGCGGCAGGTCGTTCCAGACATTCACCACTCTGCGTTCGAAACAGAGTTGTTGAGCGACCCGCTTCAACTTCGGTACGATAAGTTTGTATCGGTGTCCTCGCGTGCAGTTTGGTGTGCGCAGATGAAGCAGTTGTCTCAACATGGGGT